GCCCTCTGCGGCCCAAAGTTAAAAACTGTTTTTCTTTTGAGGCCCTCAAGGTGGCGCTCACGGCCCACAGGTTAAGAAACTCCGCTTTATACAACACTGTTGTTAAAAAAGTGAATAAAACATCTCTTCACTTTGACATTTTACACAACTTTTGGGTTCAAACTTGAAAATCTAAAAGCAAGCTACGACGCCAAAATTATCTCAAAATTAAACAACTTTTGGAAACATTTTTGGGTTTTTGAAGGCTGGCGGCCATCTTGGATTGTGTCGAATCCTAGTTAAGAAGAACCACTTCGCCTGCTGAGAGTTTGTTCAGGAGTTCAGGAGATATTTTGCTAACAGAAAAGAACTCAAACAGTTGATGCACAAGTTTTAAGCAAATATGTCGCACTATCATGCGCTCAAAGTATRTGTTGAAGATGATATTTAGCTAATAAAGCACTCAATTTTAGATGAATATTTTGTGTTTTCAAAGGCGGCCATCTTGGATCGAGTCCAAAAGGTAATGAGTTGATTACTTTCTGAAACTATCAGTGAAAACAAATGAGCACAGAGAGAAAAATGTTATCGATCCGCCTCAGTGTGCTCAGTTTTTTCTCTACAGTAAATTAATCTGGACTCTGAAGACGACGGAGGAAAAACTGGGGGACTACAACCTCCATCTCACCTTATTATTACCCGACACTCGCTCCGTCTCGTTCTCAATTTCCTGCCGTATTTCATCAAAATCGGTGTAGATCTGTGACAGAAACAAAGAACAAACGTCTCACATTAAATAACAAACTGAGCTAATAAACACCATCACTCTGCATGATGCAAATGATGCAAATACCTTGTTTTTAGTGTGCAGAAACTTGCCCCACTCTTCAGCATCTCTGCCTGAGAATCAGAACCAAACAATGAGCCACAGCCGAGAACACGAATCTTTACAGCTTCACAGAAACTACAGCGAGCCAAGAGGCTAATGAAGCACGGCTAACACCAGGACCGAGCCCCGACTACAGAAGATAAACAGCTGGAAATGAAAGGWGTGGCCTTTAGAGGGAAGCTAGGCTAAAAAAAAAGCCCAATAATTGAACAGAATACACCTTTAAAGTTCATCTCTGTGAAGCATGGCACCTGGAAGTGATTGGAAATAAAAGATAAAGAGATTTAATAACAATAAAGTGACCTTTTCAGTACTGGTCAGGCTTGATTCAAAGACCTGATTTATTCTACCAGAACTTGAACGCACCATTATGCTTCAGCTGAATTATCAGTAAAACTGAGTGACTTTCAGTAAAAAATCCCACCACTGGTTCATGAGATGTTTTACTAACAGTAAAGAATCACTGGGTAAAAAAACTTTATCTCCTTTGGGGAATAACTAAAATATCTGTTAGGTGTTTAAAAATGAGCACAAGCTCTATAAACACCACCGGTTTACAGATCAAACAATAAATCAGCGTTTTATTTCCCTCCTATTTATTATTAATTCATGCATTAATAACAGTGAGCTGGATTGATGTAGTGGTCTTTAATGATTAAAGACTTCCTGTGTAAAAACATGATCATTTTTTTTAAATTTCCCTTTCACAAAAGCATCGTGGGTTGATTTATCGTGCACTTTATAAATAAAGTTTGATTTTATTTACTAATACAAATATCTGTCACCAAAAAACAAAGATGTCTGTGTCTTTGTTTATATCTGTTAGCAAAATATCGCAAGAACCACTTGGATCGATATCTACACAACTTGTTTAACCTTTTAGAGTCAACCAAATTAAAGTGTATCTTACCCCCCCTGTGAAAAGATAACTCCGCCCCAAGGCGAAATTTGAAAAATGCATCAAAGTGGGTAGGGGGGGGGGGGGGTAGAGAGCGGAGGTGTGGCCTGGACGAGAGAACGTGACAGCCTCTGCTGAGCTGTCCGCCTCACAGGAC